GCTTAGATGTCAATTTAAAAATTGTCAAGCTTAATTGTTTGCTCAGTTGATACATTATTTGTGTATATTCAATAACTTTCAGCAAGCCAACCAGGCAATTAATTAAACAAACAAACTGTATTTAAACAGAGATTGATGATAAACATCTGATAAGAATACAATATATATATATATATGTATATATATATGTATGTAGGAAACTTGTCGAGCTGGATATAAAAATGTAAGTGCATATATATTTTTTGGAAGCAACTGGAGAAATACTATAGAAATATGTGTAATTTAAATACATTGTTGTAGCCGCAATTCAGCTGCGAACGTGCTGAGGGCAAGTCTAAATTTGAAATATGGCTCAAATTGTTTATACTGACTGGCTGGCCATAACGAGATAGACGTCAACCAAACAAAACGAGTCGTGCGTCCCAAATTTGGGTTCCCAGTTTCAACACACACACAAACACAAACACTCAAACACACAGCATTTAAACACAGAGCAGTAACCAATTAACTGCTTCGCGGGTATAAGTATTTATTATGAAACTCACGCCAGGGTCCATAAATCGTATGATTATAAAAAAAATATATATATGAGTACTTTCAGAATACTCATAAACAGCAATAGTGTTTTTTGACAAGTGGCTATCGCAAATTTTAACCTGTCGATAACAAGTGTATAGTCCGGAAAATATAAAGTAAACCTAATCGTATATAACGAAGGCCTCATTGCAAATTTGATAAGTACTGTGAAATGTTGATAGACAGTTAGCAAAAAAGAAAAATTAAATAGAGTAATAAACATTGACATAATTACACGTGCTCTAAACTATGGTTTTTCACACGACATTTTCAAGTGTATTCTGACAGCAATAAACAGAATACGCATAGATAGGGCAAAGTGCTTCGTATTCCACAAGGAATGAGTCAGAATTGCAGCAAATGAGTCAATATTTCAGTTCAGGAGTGGTCTAAAGTGACTAAGTGAAATGTGAAAGCATTTAAATTATGTGTCACTTAACATCGAAAAGGGATTTAAAATTTAAAGTTTATTGACTTAATGAAATTTCAAGATTATTGACTTGATGACATTCTCATACGCAAACTTTTTTATACCATCGAAGTATCCATCAAAGACTTAGATTTGATACATTCTCAAGCACAAACAGGACGAAAAGGAACAGATCTTCAACTCTGAAAGGCATTTTATTATTTATGCTACTCACATCTAGAATCAACTTTCTTAACAATTAAAAATTGTTAGCAGTAAGAGCACATCTTATTTAAAGGATAAATATAGAAAAATTAAATGTACATCTAATATTATTGATATTTAAAAATGATAATTATAATAATAATATAAGGTATTAATATTAACTTAAGGTAAACTAAAAACCAAAACAAAACTGTCAATTATTTAACGTCAAAGATGTTTTAAATTTAACTCGAATTTTGGAATTGATAATTAATTTGTTTCCCCATTCATAGATCGCTTAATTGCTGAATCAACAACATTAGAAAAGCTAGGTAAAAACTTTGTTGCAATTAACGTTGCAATTGCAACTAGCAACACTCCCGTCTCCTCCACACGAAAGCCCGCTTTGTTTAACAGTTTACACAAGTGTTTGGGCATTACCTTCAAGTTGGCAGTTGTATTGTGGGATTCCATCAAGCATGTGTATTCAAATAGCTGACTCTGCCTTATGTATTTACGCCTTGTAAATATTTGCCAAAATAGTTGTGGTATTTAACCAACTACTGCATGAACATATTAACCAACTGAAGTGGGCTTTAATTGAGTGTGTGTGTGTGTTTGTGTGTATATATCTGCCTGAGCCTACTACTGTATTGAGGCAAGTGACTTGTAACACTCTGTTGACAGTAGCGAATCGAATGTGAATACAAAAACGAATATGAATACAAGCAAGAATCTCAAAGTCTAGACTCTAGAGATGCCAAAGTCGTCACATTTTCTATATATACATATATACTCATATACGTAAAGTATATACAGATTATATTTTGGAGGCTGTTTTACACAGTCTGGCCACATTTAATTAAGAATCACAAGTGAAGTGAGAGAAGTTGTGTGCGGGTTTGTCTGTGGATACTCTTATAATTGTTTGAGGCAGTCCAAACTATAATTGATCCGTTTTTACTCTATTTAACAACTTTTAAATAAATTTTGGCATTTCATGTCATTTTAATTTATATAGTTTGGAAAGATTATTTTTACTTTATGAGTATACTGGAATATAAATATATTTATAATCAACTTGAAACTTCTGCTCATCTTTTCAGCCAACTATTCTTGCTGTAAGTGCAAATTTAATTAAACTACTTTCTCAGAAATTTTTGATGTTATTATACATGGTATATTTTAGAGGTAAAAATATTTAACTCTTTTTTATTTTATTTTTTCTTGATTAACTGCAACATTTTAGTAAAATTCGAAATTATATATTGAGCTGACTGTTGGCTATCGTGTGCCATGAAAACGTGCTGTTTTATTGAAAAGGTCGGTCAGTTACTGTTATTGTTGTTGTTCTTGTTGATATTGAATATATAGCGGTTGTTTACACTTCATTTGACAATTAAATATTTATATATCATACATATGTTTAATTGGTTTATTAATTCTTTTTACAAGTTCAATTGACATTGAATTTGTAAGTTGCGCAGTTGATTGCCCCAGGTTCTAGCGATTCCCCCAAGACTTACATAAAAAGAGGGGAGGGAAGAAGACTAGAAAAATGCACAATATGCAATTGATTGAGATATATGTGTGCGAATGTATTCAATATCTAGGCAATAACCTTAGAAGTGAACTCTTTTCAATGACTTATTTGCATTGTGACAAATTGGAAAAAAATGTCGTCCATCCAAACACAAACACATTCGTTTAATGGACAGTTTATCTCAGTGTTGGGTCTTCATCGATTTAATCGATGCCTTAATTAGTATAAAAAAAAAGAATCCGGCTCATTTCCGAGTTCGAATTCGAGAGAGAGAGTATTGATGGGTCTTATGTTTGCCGACGATGAATAAACAATAACAGCAAGAAAAAATAATCAACGACGGCGCCGTAATTAAAATACGGCAGCAACAACAAAAACAAAAACAAAAAATTCCGCAATCATCTGAACTGAATATATAAAAAGTGTGGCATGTAAAAAAAAAAGAAACGAAAACCTTGCAAGAAAAAATGAAATGTGCATTAAAATAAAATGCAATCGCAATAAAAGCAACCACAACAAAAAAAAAAAACAAAAAAAAACCAAAGAAAAAATGTAATTTCAAGGAAGCGAAACAAAAGACAAAAACAGAAAAGTATTTAAATTATTTGTATAAAGCAGAGCACATACATAATTAAAATTACAATAAATGTTGGATTGTTTTTCGGTTTGTCTTTTTATTACCGACGTATTACCTATAAGACTGCGACATTAATTGCTTTGCCCCCAGGCAAGAACAAAAATAATCATGAATAATGAGGCTTATTTTAAGCTTTTTTAGACAAGAACTACAAGAGGTGGGTCCAGTTTCATGGTTCATCTGAGTTCAGATTTTGGGGTGTAGAACAAATTGATATTAAATGTCTGTGACTTAAGGTCATGGTCAGTCAATGAGATTAACTCTGAAATTGGCTGGACCAAGTTTGGCTAATGTATTTTTAATTAACTACAAATATGAAACGCATATGGGAATTTCCAAACATGTCGAAAACCAAAATAACATTATTTATTTTTATCTTCTGAACACATTCAAAAGGGGGATTATTGGAAAGCATGTCCGATCCCATGGAGTATATATATATTATTGATCAGCATCAGCAGTCGAATCGACCTAGTCATATGTGAATATCGATAAAAATCGTTTTCCGAGCGCAATCAACGAAACCATTGTAAATATATAACCTTCCTATGGATAATATACCCTCACATGATATTTATCAACTGTAGATCGAACTAAGATCGAATAAGAAATACCTATTTTGTTAGCTAAAAAATATTTTCATGCTGAATAAACAACTATCAGCCCGATTACTATATTTACACATGTAAAAGTTTGATTCAACTGTGTCCAACTTTTTGTAAGAGAGATTTTAGCATAATATAACAAACTATCTTTTGATCAGCATATATCATTTAACGACGCAAACGTTAATTAAATGATGTTGTCATATTTCGCATATTGACAGCTCAAATTAGATGGCAATATGTGAAAAATATATGTGAGTCTTGTTTTAGATTTTATCTTATGACAAATTCGTATACTTAACTAACTCCCAGTTGAGCTACATCCACTTTGTTTGGGTGTTGAATAAACCTTAAGTTATTTCAAATTCGGCAAACCTTTGCACACCTCTACCTCATATTAACGGCTAGGTGATAATTCATCATAAGAGACCGCTTTTAAGACAGTTGTTTCTTTCGGTTTTGCACCGTGACTTACAAAGCAAAAGTCAAGGCGTTCCACACGCTTAAGAATTTGTGCAAGGCAAGCAAAGTGACGCAACAAAATCAACAATAATCCATTAAGCAGCAAGTGGAACCCATATACACTCAACGCTCAATGCAAATGTATGTATGTGAATATGAATATGTTTATACATATATCTGTCGACGGGAGGAGACGCATAAATTATTGAGTGCAGTGAAATTGAGCTGAGCCGTTAACGATGATGACGATCCCTAAGACACCCAACTTGGCTTGGTAGTTGTATTTTTAGCGAAAGGCGGAAATGTAAATATATGTATATATATGTTGTCCTGAAGAGAGCAATTAATCACAGGGTATATACGCAGAGATTAGTTACTGGTTTGGATAATATATTTAGAAAACAGGCTTTTGTTTTTCATTTAACTAATTGAACGATGCATTTTAGTCACTTGGCAGGCGTTTGTTAAACATAAAATTGGTTAGAGAGCAATCACATGATAATATAATAAAGACGAGTTGATTTGATTTGATATTGTGAGATTTTTTTGTGAGATTTTGCGAACCTGGCGTTGAATTTATCGGGCACGAATATGTTCCACCAGGAGTGTCGCTTCTCGCGCGGAAAAAACTCGATATGATCGGGATCGATAATATCGTCCTCATCATCATCGTTATAGCGGGTGGTCATATCGCTGGCATTGGTCACATTCACCGCCATACTGTCATTGGTCAGGTCGCTCTGCGATTCGCTGTGTATCAGATTGGAGTCGAGACTCCTCTGATTGATATACTCCATTTTTTTGCGTCTGTGCCGATCCAGCTTCGTCTGCAGCGAGCTGCGACGTCGCCGCTGTCGGTCATTGGGCGTATCATACGGATTCATGCCCTGGACAACGGTACGGGTTTGTGTGCCATCCTCGAAATAGGTCAGTTTGCCGGGCTCATTCGGTGAGCTGGCCCGTATATTCTCCTCCGAGCTATAGACAATCTCGGGACTGTTCGTATTAATCACTGAGCCATCGGATTTCTCGCTGCGCACAGCCGATTCATACGATTCTTTGGTTAAGTTCTGCAAACGAAAACAGATTTATTTTTTGAGTTTGATTAGCTTTCAATATATAGAGGATTATGTATATGATTAAATACTTTATTTTCTTAATTATTAATCTTTGCTTACCTTACTGCTATCACGCCTCAGAAATGCGGCTGTAATGGAGCTGCGCCGCTTCTGGCTCTTGTCCGTCTTGGAGAATAGGCCAAAGGCGAGGGAGCTGCGACGTGGAGGCTTCTGTGGTGGAAACTGTGGTGCCTCCTCTCCATCCCCATGCTCTTCGATGTTGACCAATGACGATATGGAGGCGCTGCGCAGCCGATACTTGCCGCTATCATTACTGCTCATTATTATTGTTGTTTGTTGTTGTTGTTCGTGTTGTTGTTGGTTAAAAGCGATCCTTAGGTCGCCTCAACTCAGTTTAGCCGCTAAAGCACTGTAAATTATTTACGTTTAATATTAATAAAGTTGTCTAAGCCATTTGCTAATTGCAGCCGCTCCAAACAAGGGAGCATTGTTTCACTCTCACTCTCTCACTCGCTCTCTCTCTCTCTCTCTCTCTCGCTGTGTGTCACTCTCTCTTTGTCTCTCTCTCTATCTCTCTCTGTTCCACTCTCGCTCAACTTTTACTTTCAATGAACTCCATTGAACCGACATTAGCAAGGTAATTAGCAGGCCATTGTCGATCGCCTGAAACACGTCAACGTCTACCGTTGATATCGTCGCTGGAATATACATATATATTTATAGATACATATGCAGTATCTAAGTGCATGCAACGTAGGGCATCAGCACATCATGCACGAGCAACTCGATTAACAGCTGTGGAAGCCGGGGCATTTGTGGGTGGGAACGAGAACTAGTTGCAAAGAGTACAGTTACAACGATTCGCTTATTCACCTACACCAAAATCAATCTTCAAATTAGTTGAAAGAATTGAAATTGCAATTAGAACGATTCACTTGATCGCCAAAAGCAAATCTTTAGCTAAAAAATCGTAGAATATTTGCCCCAATTATGTGAAAAATGTCGAAGTTTATCAAATTCCTTTTATTTTTCTTTTGGAAATACATACGTATATATATATATATATATATATAAATTTTATTGTTATTAAGCCGCAATATTTTTAATCCAAAAAGTAAAATTCCATTAAGCCGGAATATTTTAGTTCGCAATTCAAATTAAATTGTTTGTATTTTGTTAACTGATTTATTATTCTTATGATTTGTTGGTATTAATTAAAACCAAATAAATTAGAATTGTTTTTTTTTTTAATTGAATTGAAATTGAAATTTAATAGAATTAATTACGAGTAAGTGTAAAATTTAGTACCGAATGGAATTTTATTTAAGCCAGCACTTTTAAAGTGTGCAACTTAAATTTAATTGATTTAAGGTATCAATTATAAAGTTTTCAACTAGATTTCAATTAGTAATAAGTTATTGTTTTTTGTGATTTAAATTATTTTTATTACAAAACGATTTAAAATAAATTCCTATAGTAAAATTGACATTCAAAATAGATTTGTTTCAAACTGTTCCTAACAAAAATTAAATATAAACAACGAATAGTTTTAAAGATTGCTCTGCAGCTGCTCAAGGTAAGATTTGATCAAATGAGCAAATAAATACGTTGCCCGGCATTTAGAAATAGAATTTAACAAAATGAATGGTTTAATGGTATTTAGCATAACAATGGTTAGCATAAATCTCAATGCAAAATACTTCTATAGAATCTTAAACAAAAGTTAAAGCACAGTTCGCTCTAAGAATATTATAAAATATTGTTTTTTTAATCTATACAAATCTGGAGCATTGTCTATTTTAATATATTTAAATCTGATTGAACAATTCTAAGCTCTGCAGACCATATCAATGTCTACTCTAAAAAATCCATTGAGCTGAACAGATATACCCGAAGCATTCGACTCGCTGCTTGGTGGAATAAACAACTGCTAATAATGCAAATTAGCTGAAAACTTCATAACATCATGACAATAGCCTACAACCTACGACAACAACATAACAGCTGCTACAATAGTTCAACAAAATCAGATATTAAAAAAAAAAATACTTCAATGAATAAACTATGATGATGATGATGATGAAGCTGACAATGCTGATTTGGACAAGTCAAGAGCCACGCTGCCTGGCTGCGAAATCGAAAGTGCCTAGTAACAAGTATATATATAAATATAGATATAGCTAGAGGGAGAACAATGAAACATATTCAATATGGGCACAAGTTGAATGCAATTAAAACACACTCTAATTGCATTCATCCACGTTGTATGTGTATACATCTGGGGCCTGTAAACTGTCTGCTGTTATATGTTGTTTAACGCCTGGTTGAGTTCTCGATTAGTGTTTAGTGTGTCGTTTACAATTCTCACGTCAATTCACCGTAGGGCTATAATTATTGCCAGTTTATTCAAAATTATAGACATAGCTAATGTTGTAAAACTTGGATTTACAACCAATTGGAACTCAAGTCGAATGATTGCACGATAGTTACGGAAATTGACGACTTTGTGTGAGCAGCAACTTAAAGTGAGTAATTTAAAATTGATTTATTTATTTATTCCTTTTTTTTTTAGATTACGTTTGTATTCAATGTGAAGAAAATCAACGAAAAGACGAATTCAAATATTCTTTATCGTTTTGTCTTCTATGTGAAGAAAAACAATAAAAAGGAGATTTTTTAACTATTTAGAAAATTGTGCAAGAAATGAAACCCTATTTTTAATGATTTAGAATAAATTTGCTTGGATAAATAATTAAAGTCTTTTTTTAGTTTTTGTTCAGAAGTCATAATCGGGAAATGTTAAGTGACATTTTTGTCCATAATAATTACTTTGAGATTCAGATAAATATATATTCCATTTTATATAAGATTAATATTATTGTATTGCTATAAATCTCAGATTAAATGCAATTTTGAGAAAAATTAATTCGATTTAGCTAGAATATCTCTGATAGTCGACAACTTTGAGTAGCCGTCAATAAGTGAATTAAAAAAAGACCATTCAAGTACACATAATTCTATCTGATTTTCTGTGAATATGTCCGAAAGCCTGATAAAGCTGATGATGATTAGATAGAATTAAGATTGCAAGCCCCACTCAAGTGGAGGGAGTTACGAAATTATCACTACGCATTTATAATGATAGAGTGCGAAAAATGTATTCGAGTGTTTTGTTACACTTGACGAGTGGCCTATCGAACTCGAACTCGAACTCTCGCGTAAGCCCCCATGTTCAAGTGCTCTCCTCCACATGGGGGTCTTATCTGGCAAACAAACAAAACACAAAAAGAAGAAAAAACTAGAAATAAAAAAAATTTAAAAAAAAAAACAAACCAAGATGCCACAACAACAACAACAACAGCAACAATAGGAATGGTCAATTTGAATAAGGCCCCGTATAATAAATATGAGTATACCATATATGCGACTATAGCCTTGTGTGCGTTCAGTGCTCAAACTGAGACCACAACCGGTCACAAGACTCATGGCGCTTACATTGCCAACTGTGAAGCGAGATGTGAAGTGAAGTTCACGCTCGAAAGCCGGGCTATGTCAATAGAGTTTGAAGTCCGAAAAACTGGGTCTCCATCTGGGTCTGGGTCTGGGTCTCGGTCTAGGGCGATATTTTCGTTATGCAGTCGCTTCGTATTGTTTTCATATATGTGTGTTATATTATTAAAGAGTCACCAGCCAACCAAACAACAACAATTGTGCAATGCGCATAAATGAATAGAAATCGAAATCGAAATCGAAATGTCGATGAACAATATCTTACTGTGTCAATGTCACGGTCACTCAACCAGAAAACGGGTCATTTGTCTATCGTCTACTGTCAAAACTCCAGCTGTAAAGCATACAATTTGTTTTGCCCACATTAATCATTACTTTAAAAAATTTCCACAGCCGAGGGTGGAAAACAAGTGGAAAACTACAGCACGTGATAAGCGCCGTTCTCTTCACTGATAAGTCAATCATGCGTTTTAGCATGTCTGCTGCTGCTGCTGCAGCTGATTTTCACACTCAATTGGCAATGCAACAAACAAGTCGCTATAATATGATGTTGATGATGACTCAAGGCACTGCTGGCACTGCTACTTGAGCCATGTGTCTGACAGATAAATGTGTGGCATAGTCACATTGAGAGGCTGAGCTCCGTTCAAAGTCGCACAATGCGCAATTGCAGCTGGAAATGACAACTGGAAATGACTACTTGCAAATGTTTCACAAGGTTTTCACATGTCAAACACTGATAATGGACAATACCTTAAGAAAATACGCACTTAATTTATTTGCAGTCAGCTTAAGAAACGTCTTTTTATTTGCACTTGATCGATTAAAGTGAAAACTGTGAGCCTTAATGCACTGCAAAATAGTTTCTTTCGTGCTCCCAACTGATCCTACAGCGCCTCCATCAACCCTGATTCTTGCATGAATTCAGGAGTTTTAGCCGGTTTAAGGATTTATATGTGTTCCGAGTTTAAGTCATGTTTCTCTGGGATACTAAATCATTTGCTGGTTACGGCGATACAGTCTTATTTAAAATGCTATAAGAATGCCGCCTCATTGTCATAAAATGGGCAGATTCCAGATCGAGTTTAACTAGGCGACTGCTTAGTCTGTCAAGAGACCGGTGAGCCTATTCCTCCCCAAGTTAGAATGCTCGAGTGAAGAGAGCTCGACTGGGAGTTAACCCAAACCCAGCTATTAAATTTATTAAGATATTAATCGGACACTAAAATCACAATTTCCTCATGTCTAATTTTAAACGGTTTTAATGAAAACTTGAGCAGCAGGCAAACAAATTTCAAATAGTTTGCAAACCAAAAAAAATGCACTTTGATTTATGCCACATAACTACAAATTGCAACTGGAATATTTATATAGATTATTATAATCTAGCAGTTTAAATTTAATTTGCCATAGTCACTCGCTGATAAGCTAAATCGCTAACTGCTCAGCACTAAAATCGGCTAATAATAGTGTTAAAATATGTGCGTGTGTTTCACACACACATACAAAGTAGTTCCATTTACAACAACAGCTGCAATGACAATTGCACTTTCGCTTTTGCATAAACAAAATAAAGAAAACAAGCGAAAACTTTGAATGTATTTCACAGATACAAAAATGCGAGGCGTGCGGCGAAAATTCTGCTGCCAAATGAAATGAAACGCAATAGAAAGAAAGAATGGCCAAATAGGCTGGGGATGAGTGTGCTTGACTTTAAAATACCCTGCACCAGTTATGCAGAAAACAATCTAATTAACATAAGCAGCAATCATTTTCTTACCCTAAACAATTGTACCACAATACTTAAAACAAATACATTTTATGATTTTCACCTCAAATTTTAAATAATTTTTGTCTAGCCATAAAGAATGAGAATAAACATGTACATCCACATATTTA